AGGGGGGTTGGACTGGATGACCCACAGAGGTCCCTTCCAACCCCTACCATTCTGTGATTCTGTGATAGACAGAGCTACAGTCACAGGTGCTGAGTGAGCAGAAGTCTCCTCTGGTTTTATTCAGCTTCACTGTGAGACTTCAGAATTCATTGCTTTCATTTTCTGTTTCTTGAGTTGTCAAGCAGTATGTAGCAAGCCCAAACCTTTTCTTTACTTTAGCTAGAATGCTATGAAGTTTTTTGAGCTCAGAGGGACATTTGCAAAGCTGGTGTGATTTCCAGTGTGAAGAAGCCTTCCGACATTATCTGAGGCAAAGTAGTGTTGAAATTCAGTCAGATTTTCACAGCAGTTGCACAAAATATCTGACTTTAAATTGGTGTTGGTTCACGAATCTGCATGAAAACTGGCAGGCTTGGGAACTCTGGGCTAATAAGTAGGTAGTCCATGTCCTACCTCCTTATTTTTATTTTGCGATCTTTGTGGTGCCCTCATCGTACACAGCTATGATGTACAATGTGGGGTGGTGTTGTGGTTTAGCCTGACTGGATGCCAGGTGCCCACCAAAGCTGCTTTATCACTCCCCTCCTGAACTGGGCAGGGGAGAAGAAGTACAATGAAAAGCTCATGGGTCAGGATAAGCACAGGGAGAGATCACTCACCATTTACTGTCATGGGCAAAACCAACTCAACTTGGGGAAACCGGTTTAATTTATTACCAACCAAATCAGAACAGGATAACGTGAAATAAAACCAAATCTTAAAAACACCTTACCCCCACTCTTCCCTTCTTCCTAGGCTCGACTTCTCTCCTGAATTCTCCACCTCCTCCCCCCGAAGTGGCACAGGGGGACGGAGAATGGGGGTTGTGGTCAGTTCATCGCATGTTGTTTCTGCTGCTCCTTCCTCCTTGATGGCAGGACTCCTCACACTCTGCCCATGCTCCACCGTGGGGTCCCACCCATGGGAGGCAGTCCTCCACGAACTTCTTCAGCATGGGTCCTTCTCACGGGGTGCAGTCCTTCAGGAACAGGCTGCTCCAGCGTGGATCCCCTGTGGGATCACAAGTCCTGCCAGTAAACCTGCTCCACCATGGGGTTCTCTCAGGTCCTGCCAGGAGACTGCTCCAGCGTGGACTTCCCATGGGGTCACAGACTCCTTTGGGCATCCACCTGCTCCAGTGTGGGGTCCTCCATGGGCTGCAGGTGGATATCTGCTCCACCGTGGACCTCCATGGACTGCAGGGGGACAGCCTGCCTCACCATGGTCTTCTTCACAGGCTGCAGGGGAATCTCTGCTCCGGCACCTGGAGTACCTCCTCTACCTCTTTCTTCACTGGTGTCTGCAGAGTTGTTTTGCTCTCATATTCTCACTCCTCTCTCTGTCTGCTGTTGTGCAGCAGGTTTTATTTCCCCCTTCTTAACTGTGTTATCCCAGAGCCGCTACCACCGTTGCTGATGGGCTTGGCCTTGGCCAGCGGTGGGTCCGTCTTGGAGCCAGCTTGCACTGGCTGCATCAGACATGGGGGAAGCTTCAAGCAGCTTCTCACAGAAGCCACCTCTGTAGTCTCCTGCTACCAAAACCTCGCCACGCAAACCCAGTACAGGTGGTAAAAGGGTAAAAGGGCAGCTCATTCTTCCTTCCGAAGAGAGCAGAGTGTAATGGTTGCTGTGTTTTATCTCCTGGAGCAGCCTGCCTCTGGCTGCTTGGACACGAAGAGCAGGTAATGGTTTCCCATCCAGGCTACAATGTCATGTAATGGTCTGCACAAGTAGTTCCTAGAGTCTTGGTAGTTATTTTTAAACCTTCTTTGAAGTATTTACGCTTACAAATAATCAGTTTGAAACCTGCTGTTATTTGAGTTTTAATACATCTAGAACACGCCATTCCAAGATTGGGACTATCAGCTGTTATTTCATTGGGAATTACTGTAGTTTACGTTGTGCAGTGCTTATTTCTGTACATGGTAACGTGAACCACAGCTGAGAAGTTACTGGAGCATTTTTGCCTGTAGATGTTATTCATGTTTGGTTTTATTTAACATGAAGCTAAACTTTTCTTTTAATGGAATCAGTATATTTGTCTTTGTGAGTGGTTTATTCAAAATAAATATTGAGGAGAAAGATGTTTTTGTAGCTAGGTATTTGAAGCATGAAAAATTAACCTGCCCTGGAGGTGTGAAAGTAACAGACTTGTATAATTTCAGTAAAAAAAGCAAAGTTTTGATGTTGATGTTTTTTCGTTATCAAAAATTGGAAATTTCACACAGGTTCTGTGAACTGCTGTGGTTTCTGGTGTAATGCTTCATAAGAAAGCAAGCAGAGTCAGAACAAATTATTTGCAGCTCTAAGGAATGTATTTATATGAGCTGCTGTAATGTTTTATTTCCACTCTGGTAGAGATTTCTCAGATTGTAAGGATGGATTCCTTTACAGCCTCACCTCAGGGAATCTAGCAAGTCTCATGCAAGTAAAAGCACCTTCAGAATAATTGTTCCATTTCTCTTTCTCTCTCTCTTTTTTTTGTGAGATTTGTTTACCTCAAGCGTCACAAGTTGTCAGACTTTGGATCTATACCCTTCTATACCTGTGATAAATAATGTTTTGTGTTGTTTTAGGACGTACTTGGTAAACAAATACCAGAATTACTGTCCAGCAAAAAATTTTTCACATTTATTTAGCTATTGTAGCGCCGTGTTGGTGGAGTGATAAGTAGTCCTTCAGAGATTCTCCTTTTTCTGAAACTGAGTGCTTTAGTAGGGAGGAATGAAGAGGTTTTTTTTCTCCCAAGATTTTGTTCCTTAGTACCTAGTTTATTATTTTAAAATAAATATATACATGAAGATAGAAAAACATTTATTTCAAGGAGGTCCAAATACTGCTGTATTACCTTGTGCGACAGGAGCATTTACATGGGGTCGCTTCAAATCAGGTTGCAGCCTTGTGTAGGACAACGCGCAGAGACAGTCAAAGATTGAAGCTACATTTACACCGGAGTGTTTATTGCTACTCTTCTGCAGGTGTAACTTACACTGGCAACAAAGTGCATAAACTTTGCTGGGAAGCACACTTTTTTGTCATCACAGTTGCATCTGTTCAAGATCTTTTGCCGTTAGTTTATAAGGGGAGGGGGTATGCATCAATGTTTCCCATATGCTTTAGCTGGGGGTTAAATCTTCATCCTTATCTTGAAAAAAATTTGCTGTGGAGTAGCAGAAGGCAAGACAGTACTGAAGCTGGAGAGTCTCCATCAAATAGAGGAGTTGAAAGGAGAAGGAAGCCCAGGGGTTTGGCGTGCTGTGCTCAGGGGCACTTGGGCAAGAGTTGAACCTGGCCGCGAAAGGGTGTTTTCCTTACGCGCCACTGCTTTGTGGCTTTGGATTTTGAGGTTTCCTCTCTGTAAGTGTGACACTTCCCTGGCCGTATTGGTGCATGTGTAAATCAAGCTTTCCCCTGTGAAAGAAAGTAAGTTGGTAAATGAGCAAATAAACACTTTCGCAAATATGTAGAAGTTTAGCAAATAAATATGGCAGTATTTCCTTTTGAGGTATTGTTATCTGTTAAATGTTACTGTAATTAGTTTGTTGTGTCCACAAAATCTTGAAATGCAACTGCTTCTAAACGTGGGTTTTCTTTTTTTAGCACTGGTTGGACTATTCAAAATTCATTAAGAAGCAAATAAAAAGTAAGTACCATGTCTCTGCCTGTTTATTTTGTTACTTCCTTGAGTATTTGAATGTGATTGTGAATGTTTAAACATGACCTTTAATGGAAAAAAATATTTGTTAGGAAATAGATTTAATTTAATGGCTGTTTGGCTGACTGTGTCATGTCTAAATGCAAGAGCACTTACAAGCAATAGAGCAGCCTTCAGCAGCCCTCATCAAACATGTGCTGTTTGTCTGAGGCAGAGCGGGTTGCCAGGTAATGTTGGTCTGATCTGTGAAATCAGGTTGCCTGTACACAGACAACGGTTTCTGTCACTGCCTCTGATCTAGAACAGATTTCCTGCTTTTTTTTTCAAAGAGTAAATGGAAAATATTTCATTGTGTAAACGTTATCCTTTTTTTTCATATATTATAAATAAAACTAGCAGAAATACCTGCTGTTTCATCAAAAGGAGTTTTGGGTCGAGGGGCTGGGTTTGGCCACTGAGTTTTTTGTGGAAGTTGACTAAGGCAGGCAGGTTGCTCCTTGATCTCTGATAATGTGGTTGCAGGCTTGGGTACAGTACGGCATTGACACTAACGTGTTTTGTTAATACACTGTAGTTGGCAACGGGCATAGGCCACCTGATAATATCATTTCTGTGAGATTAAGCTATAGCGTTTTGCAAGGAAATTGTTGTCTCCCTTGCAGGACCTCACAGAGATGGGTCTCAATTGCTTCAGTGGTGCTTTGCCTTTCTTTCTGATAAGCATCCGAATATCTAGACAATTTTTGTAAATGGTGGGGTTGTTCTTCTTCAAAGGCTTTTAGGACAATTTGCTTCCACCCCACGGTGTGTGGGTGTCAGTCTGCTAGAATAGATGGTAGAGATAGCTGCTGTGGGTAAGGTTTTGCTGGTTGGCTTTCTCTCACCTTTTCACTGCATCACAGACTGCTTTACCTTAAGTGATGAAGTGATTTACAGGTGCGCTTTCTGTGATGGCTTTGTCCTTTTCTTGGTCTGTCTCAAAGTGTGGAAAAATCAACAATTCTGTAACACCTTCAGCCAGTTTAGTTGCACTGTTTTGTCTGCGTTTAATCCATGAAGGGCCTGTTTTAAAAACAAATTGGGCAAGCCCTGCCCTGAGGAACGCTGAAGAGGGAAGCAATCTGATGAGCGTTGTAAAGATCTGTCTCACAACAGGGCACTTTTCTCTGCCTTGCATTCAGCAGGCGCTTTGAGAAGAGTTCCTCTCTCACCACGGATGATGCTCAGTGCTCTTTTTTTTTCCCAGCAGTGGGCAGGTAAGAGTCATTACCTAACCGATGCAGACCTTGCCGGTGGTGCCTAACTGTCAGCCTAGGCTCCTATAACCTGTCTTCTAGGAGCTGTCATTGGAGACAATGTTGAAGCTCGAATTACTAGAGTTTTGGCTGCACAGCATTTAGTAGAATGGGTCATTAGTAGACACATATATGCTGTGTTGATGTGGTGTTACAGAAGACCTTAGAAAGGTGTGAAAAAGAGTCATTTTTCCAGCACTTGATACACCAGCAGGCTGTTGGTCTGGATGATGAGGCTTAGGCAGGTAAGGATGCACTGGTCACAGTCTCAGGGTTGCTGGGTAACATTTTGTTATCTGTGTTACATAGGAAGTCAGGCCCTAGCATTCACCTGCTGGCATTAGAAAATAATTCTTGCAGCTCCACTTCGTGGAATTTGTTTGCTTTCTGTGCTCATTGGTGCCTTCCAGAGCCCTTTCCAGCACTTTTCACCTTGTTTATCTTACCCTTTCTCTTGCACGTGTATCAGTCGAAAGCCCATCTATCGGGTGGGGGTATTCTGAAGTTGTGTTTGAGTCTGGTAACAAGAAGCATCACTCTCTGCCTTCCATCTCTCCCTGACCCCAGCAACAGTACCTAGAACTGCCTGTCATTCACAGTGTGCTGCAAGGCACACCTCTTTGAACAAAAACGTGTTTGCCAAATGGACTGTTGCTTCATTAACATAATGATTAGAGTATCATAAAGTATGGTAATAATTTAATTTTTTTTATAGCATGGATTTTTAAATTTATAAACATGAAACATTTGCTGCTTTGAAGAATTTGAAAAACATACTTCATTTTGGGTTTCTTGGGTTGCGGGGTGATGGCTGTTGTTTTGCCTTAGCAGATCCACAACTAGTGAAAACTTATTTTTCCCTCTGCATATACAGTTGGACCTCCGTACACGTTGCACTTTCGAATTAAGTACTATTCATCAGAACCAAACAACCTTCATGAGGAGTTTACAAGGTAGGAACTATGCGTGGTTAACTGAGTGGCTGGCAGAGGGCATCTAAGGTACATGGGGGTACTGTAAGCAGGTGATTCAAGCTTCTTACTAAATGGTCATTTTTTTTCTGACTTGTTAGCTGTTTTCCTACTGCCAGAGAAACATCATATTTTTGTTTGCTGCTAAAAAACATTCACGGGCCTCTCCAAGTGTCCTAGTCTGTAGGAGATGTGTTCTGGTGCTTTGAATTTAGCAGAGAAAGGCAGCGTTGGGTGGGGAGAGCTGCAGCTGGGAGACAGCTACTCTTTACACCAGCGACACTTGCCCTGCCTCTGAGGGGATTGTCCATCCTGACCTGCTGCAAAGGCAGTGCTCTGCCTGGTCGCCCTTGCTCTGGGACTTGGGCATGATTTAATCATGGTACAAAAGCCACAGAATTACGGGAACAATAAACAGTTTGTTTGTTGTTTGTGGTTGATGACTGATTGTCTTCAGCTTCCCCACAAGTTCTCTGTGGTGCAAAAGATATAAAGACTGCATTGTATAAAGTCATCTTAGAATACCTGGAGGTCTTTTGTTTCAATCTGGAGGACTATACCTTGGGGAGTTTGTAGCACCCTGGTGTGGTCTAGAGGACATTCTGAAAACTGGGAAGTGAGCAGCTGGAGGAAAAGTTTTTACTTACCTTTCATGTCCACGAATTTTCTGTCTTTCTATAATAATCATCTGTCTTAATGTTATTTTATCTTTTTGTTTTGTTTCTGTTTCTCACAGTAGGGCACTTTTTCTGTCTTCTAGTTTGCTTGGCCAGAATTGGTGTGCTCCCAGTCAGCCGAAGGTGTTTAAAGATTGTTGGTTGTTGTAGTTCATGTGCACGTGATGTTTGCATTAAACTTACTGCTGCAGGCATACATTTACTGTCTCCTTTCCTATCTGCTGTGTTGACCATGCTTTTTTTTTCTTCTGCCTGAGACAACGTCAAAGAGCTAATTGTCATGATCTTATGAGACTGACATGGAGGTTTTAATATCCATTATCAATTTAGTTCAGCAGTGTTGACTCAATAAAAGGCCATATTCCAATGCAACTGTAATTAACCTGTAGAACTTCCTGCCACTTACGTAATTGTCTTAGCAAATCCAAAAACCTGGATGATTTGGGGGCATTTCTGATGAGAAAATGCGGTTAAATTAGTAGGGATTATATGTGTTTTCTGAAAATTGATGTAAGTCTTGATACATCAGGGTGCATGTCTGACAAGTATTACATTTCCCCTGTGGTCAAATTATTCCATTACTGTCTACCACAAGATTTCTTGCTTAATCCTCTGAAGCATACGATTCTAGTCACTCTGAGGTGTGGATTTCTGAGCTGTGTGATCATTGCTGTGATCGAGTAAGACATTTCCTTTGCAAGTATTAACCTCTGATGATTTGTGATCTAATTATTAATGAAAGGTGGCATTTCAGAAGACCATTTTCATTAGAAAAACACTTTAGTCAGCTAAATTTTCAGTGTTATGAACAGTTTTATTTGAATTGTAAGCTTGAAAAGAGAGTGCTGTTAATCTGTGGAAGGAAAATTAAAATAAACTGGAAATTGATTTTGTAGTGAACAATTAGTAGCTTTTTTTTGTTTTTTTTTTTTTTTTGTTGGGGAAAGTAATTTTGAATGTTGCTGGTTTTCTTTTTTTAAAAAAATCTTTCTGCTGGCTGGATCGTATTTTTCATGTAGCTCATTGAGTAAAAAGTGAAGATTAACAACTATATACTCAGAATTATTCCAAGTGGAAATGGAATGGGAGTAAGAGGAGAAAGAAAAATGGTCATTAATACTAACCATGAAATGGCCTGGTTGGGGGGGTATTTGAAATTCCATGTGGAGAGCTGTTTGCTAGTAGACTCTAGTTTCTAGTGAAGCTCATAGTTAGCACAGTAATGGAGAGGTGTTGAAACTCTTCACCTATTCTGTTGTTTTCCAACTTAAAACCACAGTTGAAATCCAGTGCATTTTGGCAGACATTTTCTGTCACTTTTATGGGACCTGATCAATTAGTTTAGTTAGAAAAACAACAAAGGAATATGTCTGTACGTGTGTGTTGTGGAGAATTCTCTAAGGTGTTTTGCTGACTTGGAATATCAAGAATAGAGGTGCTGGTGCTTGTCGGTCTGCGTGCAGAAAAGGAGCAGGCGTAAGCCGTACCGACCAGAGCAGAGCTGCTGCGCTGCACAGGCCCGCTAACACCCGTAGAAGCACTGCGCAGATTTTTCTTGCAAGTTTAGAAGAATTCGTGGGATTGTGAATCATCAGGGGAAAACAACAAGAAGAGGAAATATACTTGTCTACCCTTAATCTATGCACACAAATTACCAGGTTTGATTGGCAAGTCAGGTATTAGCCAAACACGTGAATCAGAGGTATGACACAGAGCTAACGTGGATAAGTCTGATTCTGCTTTAGTGTGTCATGAGAAGTCTTTCTAATCTTCCTTTTCATTTCTGTTCTCCTGTCTGATTCCAACTATTCATCCTCCACCACGTTCACAGTGTGTCCTCTGTGATGAAAAACGCCTTGTCCTTCTAGCATCCTTCTTAAAGATAGGAGGGGTTTGTGTTCGCGTTTGCTGGGTTGGCTCTCAGTAGTGCTTCAAGCTCTCTCCTCCCGAGTCACTCCTCATTGCAAGCCTACCCCCGCAGTGTCCGGAGCCGGGCAGAGCCTCTCTGAGCCATCCTGCCCTGTGCAGAGCTCTTGCGTGACCTGGGGCACCTCTGCACGCCACAGACCCCAGCGCTGAGCGGCTGTAAAACACGAAGCATGCCTAGAACTGAAGGTCACCAAGAGCTTAAAATGCTACTGCAGTTTGAAAGCTGTAAATGCCTGCATGGCCTCCTAAATAAATGTGTGGGCTCTATGGAATTCGGATTTCTTTTATTCAGAGCTTTTCTGCTATTTTAAGTGAAAGTTCAGACTTAGCTTTTCCTTTTGCCCAGTATGGACTTGTTCCATGTTCTGTATTTCTGTTCGAAAAGGTAGCCCTGAAGTCCTCATGCCTTTATCTGTGTTTTGTCTCTAGATCCTGTAGTTCAGTTCTTGCTTGATTTGGGCAAGACCCAGTTCAGGAGAACACTGAAGTGTCAATAACATTTAGGTTGCTGTGGTGTATGGTCAGATAGAGCAAATCCCTAAACAGCAAGGCTTTGGGCAATGTCCTGAATGCAGCCAGTAGGTGAAAAATACTCTCTTCTTTTGGATTTTAGTGAAAGCTGTGGGAACTTTGAAGCTTCCAGGGTGTATCTGAGTGATCCCAAAGGCTCTTTGTAAGAGCAAGTTGATGAAAAAGTTGTGACTACTCAATGAAGTGGGATATTTTTCCAGCCATTGGGGCTGGAAAGATGACATTATGTATACTTTTGACTTTCTGAATTTTTATTTGTCAGGTACCTGTTTGTATTACAGCTCCGACAAGACATTCTTTCAGGGAAGTAAGTAACTCTTTCCTCTTGCATCTGTAGTTTAAAGTGTTTATAATAGTTAATCTCTTACTGATTTAAAATTTTACTTTATCTGTGTGATCTTTTTAATTCTTTATGGTGTTAGTGCCCAGATTATAAACATGTTTTACAGTTCCACATGCATGTTTTTTCCTTTAGAATACAGAGGTCTGTGGCTTTGCGTGCATCATGACTATATTATTGACAAATGGAATGGGTGAAGACCTTTGATAGATTGACCAGGTGATGGAAATGTATAAAGAGAGCAAAGACTGTCCTGTGATTTTTATGACTTGAAAATGTAACATGGGCTTACCATATTTTTCAGTATGGTAGGTAGAGGAGGAAAAAATGACGAAGTGCAACACTTTCTGCACAGTCAACCCTGCAAAAATATTTTGTCTGTTTATAGTCTCACCCTGGCCAATAAATTCACACCTGCTCTATTTTATTTTCTTTTTGATTACAAAACCAAGAAAAACACACAAACCCACATGTTCTAAAATATAGTGTTGGAGCAAAAATGATTTCTTAGTCCATTTAATGTTGTCTTTATTAGTTCAGTCTTGTTTTATGGTGGAGCTGTCATGTGTTTAGTGCTAATTAAAAAATGTACCAAATTAGGAAATAATCACATGCAAGTAAAAACTAATTGTGGATGTTTCGTATCATTAATAACTTGTGGTTTAAGGGATCTTGTGGAAGTTAATGTTTCCATTTCATATATCAGACTACTTTTTAGCTTTACTGCAAGAAGAACTCACTGAGAAAAAAGACATATTTTTATTGCTTATTTTTTTTCTTTTTAAGACTGAAATGCCCGTATGAAACTGCTGTTGAACTAGCAGCTCTGTGTCTTCAAGGTATGCAATCTTTTGAAAGTGGTTTGTCTCAAAGTGTTGAAAAACTCAGCTACTAATTTCTTTTCACTCTTTGATACTAATGATTTCTCACTGACTGTATATAAATGGCATTTCTTTACCTGAGGAGAACAATTTTAGGGAGGTTACTTCCCTGCCTTCCCTGCATTCATAGCTTCTGAACTACATTAGCCAGCCCTGGCACACTTGCTGAGGGGCAGGAGCCTCAAAGAAATGAATGGACAAAGGTTTCATGGACACCAGGGGCTGGCCAGGGAAGAAAGACCCCAAACAGTTCCCCAGCGAGGCAGAAGCTGTGGTGTGTGCACAGCGTTACCCCTTCAGCCTGAAGATCCAGCTGCCCATCAGCACAGGCTTAGTGGCCAGCAGGGCTTTGGAGATGGGCTGCCCGCTGCCTGGCTCCTGCCTGGGAGGGAGAGCCTGTGCCCTGCCGTGCCGTGCTGTGCCATGCCGTGCGCGACACCGGAGCTGGTTGCAGGGCAGGAGGGAGGGGGTGGCACATACTGTGGAGGAGAGAATTACACGGGAGGGGGAGAACTAAAATTACTGCCCTGTCAAGAGCAAGGGTTACAAGATTAACAAATAACAGGGCACCAGGTTTCGTTAGTGTTTTGTAGGAAAAAGTATTTTTTTTTATTGCTGTGAACATGTTAATACAAATACTTATTCTATTTCAGGCAGTTTGTTTTGCAGATAGGAAGGAAACTTGTGTAATGAAGCTCAAATCCAATTCATTTTTTTTTCCTGAAAGAAAGTGCAGTGATCTGGACCATTCTAGGCATATCAGCAGCAAAATGAATCGAAATGAAAAATACTCCTCCTGTTCTGCTGGCAGTTAGCAATGGTAGATGGACTGCTTAGGCAGAGTCCCTTAGTTTAATACAGGAATGGAGATAATTCGGTGATTCTAGATGGACTTGCCAGTCAAAACTGGGATTTCAGTTCCAAACAGCAGCGGGTGTAAATCTTGGGGCATTTCTCAGTTTCCATTTGCACCCATCTGGGGCAGCTCTGTTAGACGTGCAAAGGACTGCTGCAGGCAAACTCCATTTGGCTTTTTGAGGTGGAGAACATCTGGAGCCCTTATTTGATTCATTACTTCCATTTTCACAGATAAAAACATCGGTACCCTCACCCCTGGTCTAAGCAAGGAGAGCCAAGCAAAGAACGATAGGTTGATGCCTCAACATGTCGGGTAGTAGCGTCCATCATGTTTATAATGTCTCCAAAGCTGACACTTCTTGATACTGTCTGTGGGAACGTATTTAAATTGTGGTGGCAATTTCATACTTTTCTACTGTCTTGTTTTCAGTTTCAGTTTTCCGCTATTCTGACATCATTGCAATAAGTTGCTCCAATATTCTTTCATTATTGCAGCTAATTTACTTGCCTCTGCTGGCATATGGTATAATTAGCAATTATTATAACATTTCTTACATTTTATTGACATTGGAAGCTTTTAATTAAGCAGAAGAGTTTAAAGGAATGTCAAATGATTATTCCCTTCTCAGTAGGTTACATGTACTCTGTGAAATCCGATCTTGCTCCTTAGTATTGCTTCCCTAAGAGTAAGGAAGAAGTTAAAAAGGCTATGTAGGAGTTGATGCTCTAACCCTCTGAAAGAAAGGCCTCTGCTCTTTACAGGACAGCTTTAAACTCCGAACATTTTCTTTATCAAGGAAGTTGTTCTGTTACAGTAATTCTTTTTTTCAAACAACAGTTTCCAAGGCTGGCATTTTGTGTGAATCATCTTTCAAATATAAATTGTTGATTTGTTACCAGTCCGGGGAAGGAAATTCTGTAGCAAATAACATCAATTTGCACTATGGGGTAACTTGTGAAGCAGATGCATAATCACGTACTTCACTTGGGGATTATCTACAGAAAGGTTGTAATCACACTGGAATCATCGCCATTAGAATAAGTTTTTAACTATGTCATTAGTCTTGCATGGCTGTCATATTTAACCAGGTATACTTTTGAAGCTACTAATTAAACTGAAAAGGAAAACTTTTTCTCGGATCTCCGGTTTTCAGTTCTAGGCATAAGACATCTTCATGGGATAGTGCAAACTTTTTTTTTCTTCTGTGTAAAAGAATCAACAATATATTTACAGATAAACACATTCTTGCAGTTTTCAAAAAGCTTTCTAGGGAACTTCCTTTTAAAAAAGTCCCCCAGTTTATGCAGTTATTTATTAAACAACGTGGATAATCTAGATAAACGCATTATGTAACACACACACACCCCCCCAATTTAAAAAAAAGACCAGAGGAGGAGCATTCCGAAGCGTGATACTTTGTCATAAAACCTCCAATGAAGAGATGGGTCCCCTGCTGTGCCCTGGTGTTGAAACATCTTAGTGCTGCTGAGCCACTCAGGGAACATAATTCTGTCAGAAGACACAAGTGGGAGCATCCTCGTACGGAGCCCGCGCTTTCCCCTGCTTCTGCTGCTCTTCCACCCTGTGCGGGGAGCTGACGAGGCTCTTACTGCCTCTTACTCTCAAGACCTATTTCTTAGAGATCAAAATGATGACATCATTTGTTTGCCCGCAAATGAATAGGTGGTGAGTGCAGCTGCTGAGAAACCAAGGTGCTATTTTTCTTGTACCTAATGCTTCTGCCCTGGCTTCTCTGTGTATTTATCCTGCGCGCTCATGATTCTTGTCATCCTCACACATCCTCTTTACAACACAGTCAGCCTTCATTCTCTACCTGCTCTCTCAGGGAACTAGCAGAGAAATCTCCCATGTTTTTCCTAGATGGTTGTCAACACATCAAACTTCAGTTTGTTACTTTTTTTTCCCTGAAGTCCTCCTTGCTTAATGTGTTTCTTGTGGCTCCCTATTATGTACGGGGACTGGACTGCCAGTAAATCTTAGCAGCACCTGTGTTAAGTAGGCTTCCAGCTGAGATGAAACAGCAGCAGAGCTGAGGCACCTCTGTTAAAGAAAAAGACATATAGATAAGAATACTGTAATTCACCATGGAAGATTACTGTTGAAGAGAAAAAATGTGTGTGAGGCAGCAGTTAGAAATGAAGATCAATGAACTTAATCTGTTTTATGTCTTCAGCACTGCTAAGTGTTTGAGTGAAGCTCAAGTGCTCAAAACCAGCTAGTAGGCGTATCGGTCAACAGATTGCATTTTGAATGTATCTTCTGTGTTCTGATGATCCAGCGATCCTGCTTGGTATTTTTCAAGACTGAGAATGAATTAGGTTTTTGCAACTGTTATGTGTAAAACTGCCCTGAAACAATGAAACTGTTTTCTTCCAGGAATTTCATTTCCCTTTATGCTTTTTTTTTTTTTTAATTTTAGTAGTAATAGTAGTAGTAAGTCAAGAAACACTGACTGCCAAAGGCCTGGTTTGGAATCAGATCGTATGTCAGGTGACACGTGGTATTGCTGAACAGTGTATTTGCCACCGGTGTTCGTCTCGCAGTCCCGAGGCAGAGACACTGCAGGCTCCTTGGGCAGCGGAGGGCTTCCAGGAGCAAAGTGTGTCGCAGGCACAAGGCAGCTGAGGGCCTCTGGCACCGAGATGCTCGGCACTTGCATCTCCTGCTGAGCTCAGTAGAGTTTGCAAGTGTTCTGCTCCGAGAGAAGATGATACCGGGCCCTAAGGAAATGAGTAGAAAGTGACACCTCAATTATGTTAATGCTTCAGCGTTTCTTTCCTTAAAGATTACTTAATCTGAATGTTACACCACCACCGTGGTTTAAAAAAAAAAACCCCACAACTTTATCGCTGGTTTCTTGAGACTAGATATTGTCTTCATGTTTTGACATGAGCAGTAATGTAAGGACGCATGGAATGGAATTCCAGGTGTTGTGGGATGAACAGTATGACCTCATTGCAATGAGAGGAAGTTTCAAAGTAGCCTCTTCTAAAGCAGGAGTGCAGTGATTTTTGTTTTTAATAGAAACTTTATTTCTTTTAAATGCTTTAAATTCCAGAGAAGCGGCTTTAGTTAAGCGGGTTTAGTTCTGACATTCTTGAATGTCAGACGTCTGTACCATAACCTTACACTGCTCCTGCAAATACGTTTTTCTGACTTTTGCTGTAAAATCTGGTTTGAGTTTGGAGGTGGGGAGGTTAACTGACAACATCGACACAAGTGTATTCGCCTGCAGCATGCTTAGAAGATTAAAAACTGTCATTGTTTTGGTGGAAATGATGGAATTACATGTTTCTGGTCATCCCATGATCTTTATGTTTTTAACTTTGTAATTGATTTATTGCAGCTGAGCTGGGAGAGTGTGAGCACCCAGAGCACACACCAGAACTCGTGTCTGAATTCAGGTTTGCACCAAACCAGACAAAAGCAATGGAATTTGACATTTTTCAGAAATGGAAAGAG